TGCTGTGATGCCCTTCGATGTTCTGGGCCGCACGCGCGCTACACTGACAGAGCCAACGAGTTCATCACCTTGGCCGAAAGGTCTGGGTAATCTTGTTAAACTCTGTCGTGCTGGGGATCGGGCATTGCAATTATTGCCCGTCAACGAGGAATGCCTAGTAAGCGCGTGTCATCAGCATGCGTTGATTACGTCCCTGCCCTTTGTACACACCGCCCGTCGCTACTACCGATTGAATGGCTCAGTGAGGCCTTCGGAGTGACCGAGGGACATTGGCGACAATGACCCATGGTCGCAAAGTTGGTCAAACTCGGTCATTTAGAGGAAGTAAAAGTCGTAACAAGGTCTCCGTAGGTGAACCTGCGGAGGGATCATTACCGAGTGAGGGTCTCCGGGCCCGACCTCCCACCCTTTGTGATTTACACCATGTTGCCTCGGGGGCGCACGCCCCCGGCGGACCATTCTAACTCGCATTCCATGCGTCGGTTTAGATTGATGAATAATATCAAAACTTTCAACAACGGATCTCTTGGTTCTGGCATCGATGAAGAACGCAGCGAAATGCGATAAGTAATGTGAATTGCAGAATTCAGTGAATCATCGAGTTTTTGAACGCACATTGCGCCCCCTGGTATTCCGGGGGGCACGCCCGTTCGAGCGTCATTACAACAATCAAGCCCGGCTTGGTGTTGGGGCACGGGGGCGACCCGGCCCTTAATGTCTTCCGGCAGGAACGTCCTGATCGCAGCGTCGTGGCACACATTTTCGCTGGTGAGATGGGCGGCCCGCGCCGTTAAACCCCATCAAAGGTTGACCTCGGATCGGGTGAGGATACCCGCTGAACTTAAGCATATCAATAAGCGGAGGAAAAGAAACCAACAGGGATTGCCCTAGTAACGGCGAGTGAAGCGGCAAAAGCTCAAATTTGAAATCTGGCAACCGCCCGAATTGTAATTTGTAGAGGATGCTTCTGGGCAGCGGCCGGTCTAAGTTTCTTGGAACAGAACGTCATAGAGGGTGAGAATCCCGTATGTGACTGGC